GACTACTATCGTTCCGACATCAGTCGCCCCTGGCAACACACACAGAGCAGCTGACAAGCAATCAACTCACACACCTGACAGCTATCTCTCTTCATCCTTACATCAGTCACCGCTGGCAACACATACAGAGCAGCTGACCAGCAATCAACACACACCTGACGGCCGTCGACCTATTCATCATTGGGGCTATATAAATGCCAGTGAAGAAAGGCCAAGTGGGTGTTGTGATCTCCCAGACACTCACTAATGTCTGTTTGTCCTGTGGTTTCCCTACAGAAAGTGACTAATGAGAAGGAACCTGGAAGCCTTGAAATAACTCTCTGCCATTCAAGTCAACTCTCTGCTGTCTGGCCGAAGTTTGCAGTCTTCAATCCACTTTCTCCAGCACTCTCACCACAGGAGCACAAGAGCACCAATACTCCTTCAATCCTCACTGCACTACAAATAAAACGCACCCTCTGGGTTTAACCACTTACGTGTTTGCTCTCCTTCTTTCCCCAAGTGCCCGCTACACCAGGTATAGGAGTGCGTGGGCAGCGCGGCTTCTCAGCAAGGGTGCTCCGTTCCCGCTATTGTTCGGAGGCCTTCTGAGCGCTGGACTGGCGTCTGCTTTTCCCCCTTGCCAACCAGCGCCAAAGCCTAGACCACGGGGGAGGGTCTTACATGCTGGGAGAGTTAAGTGTTGAATTTTAGAAGTATTATTGTGTGTGTGTGATTTGTTTTAAAGCTGGTAGTGTAACCATTTCATGACGGGGTGGGAGGGTTATGATGAACTAAATCTTTGTGTAGTAGTCGGAGGGCGTCTTAGGTTTGAAGTTCACGTGCATTTTGAATGTGTGCAGTGTCCTACGGGATTGATGTGTGTGTTCTATAGCGTTGCTTATTTATTGTGTTTTCTTTATCAAATCAAAAAATAACATCATAAAGTATGAAAAATACCTTTACAACATTAGTACATATACAAAATTCAGGTCCATAATGTTTGTACGCGTTTGTCGTAGACACAAATTAGCATAACTAGTAGCCTAGTGGCTATAAAGCCAGCGCTGGCATTTGATAAAACTAAACCATTACGTCTGAAATTATACATCGTGCTGTTTTATTATGTTAGAAATTTTAAAGTACTTAGAGCTCCCCCTGCTGGTGGGTTTTGTATAACAGCCATTTAGGTTTGGTGATCTGTGTCTCTACTTGATGACATCATCAGTAAGCATCAGGTAAGTTATCCATGTAAGAGCCTAGGAAAAGCTCAGTCTTTCATCGGTCATCATCCTGACATTTGGGTCTTTGAAAGCATCGTTAGTATGTAAAATAAATTTAAGAGGTCATTTGTTGAGTTTGTATATTTATTTTCACAGAACAGTAGGTGGGTTCATACAGATAGTCTGTCTATGTTGGCCGCATGTGCTAGCTAACTTCCAGTGAGAAAAGTGTATATACATTGCATTTTGCTACATTATGCTTACCAGTAGTTTATAATTTTGATTTAGTATCTTTAAATACTGTGTACAATTTGAGTTTATTTCCTGTGCTCTCCATAGTGGCAATTCAGAGACCTTATATGTTTGTTTTTGTTTTTGTCAGTTTTACCCTACTGCCAGTTGCTACATTAAAGGAAAGTCAAGTTTGAACATCTTTGTCAGTGTAGTAACTGGGGATGGAGTTCATCTGCCTGTCAATTTGTGCAAAGGCGTGTGAAGAGGACAGAACAGTAAAACAACGCTTCTGGGATACCAAGGAAAATGTCAGACAAAAAAATCATCAGGATCTCAGTCACTGCGGACAAGCCTCAGGTTCACTTTTATCAAGAAGATCCCCTGGTTCCTCTACCAGTGCAGCTGCAGCCTTAGCTCGTGCTGAAGCCCAAGCTGCTAAAGCTGAGGCAGCATTTGCAGGGCAGGAAAGCCAAATCAAAATGGAACAAGCAAGCTTAGAGGCATTCTTAAAGGTATAGAAGACACATTTAGAGGTATCACTGGATGCTCTTCAACTGGAGAAAAATTGCTGTAGAAGAAAAGTTCTTCAACTGCTGTAGCTAAAGCGGAAGCGTTAGAGGCTGACATGGAAGAGCAATCTGAGCACCATAGCTCCAAAATTGATCTTCAAACCCATGACCCAGCGGAGCGCACAAAAGAGTACGTCGATGAGCAGGCAAAACGTGTTACTTATCAGCCAACACATGCACCAGAAGGAGTCTCTACAGGCAGTGATAGTCAACAAGCCACTGTTGTACAGAGTACATACAAAGCTACAGAGCGGTGGCACAAGCTGGAAGATAAACCCAGTCATTCTAGGGAGCGTGTTTCAGTAGTCGGAAGTCAGGCAGGACACACTGAGACTCACATCTCACATTCTTCAGAAAGAAAACGTATCACAGACATATCACATGCCTTTTCGAGAAAACCTCAAAGGGTTCTACAGAAAGTTGCAAAGGATGGCATCATTGTGAGTCACCATACACAGTCGAGGATGTCAGACTGAGTAAAAACATCATCATCCGATCTGTTCAACAGAACACTTATGCTGACAAAATAATAAGCATTAGAACCCAACTGGAGATCCCCAAGGAAAGTCCTCTGAGGATGCTAGACCCATTTATTGATGGGGATGGGTTATTAAGAGTAGGAGGATGCATAGTGGAATCACAGTTGGGACATGAAGAGAAAAGGCCTCTGATCATTCCTGGACGGCATCATGTTACCTCTCTCCTTGTGCAACATTTCCATGTGGAGTCACAACATCAAGGATGCCATTTTACGGAGGGCGCTGTCCGCTCAGCTGGCTACTGGATTGTGGGAGCCAAAAGGTGTGTAAACAGCTCCATCTTTAAATGCGTCCCCTGCCGTAAGCTTCGATGGTCTTGTGAAGTCCAAAAAATGGCTGACTTACCTCCAGATAGACTCAGCATGGAACCGCCCTTCACGTTTGTTGGTGTTCGGACCCTGGACCATCTCCACACGCCGGACAAGGGGTGGTCATGCCGAAAGTTAAAGGTAGGCAGTCCTATTTACCTGTTTAAGCGTTAGAGCTATCCACCTTGAGGTCATAGAGTCCATGGACAGTTCAAGTTTTATAAATGCCCTGAGAAGGTTCCTGGCGATCCGTGGGCCAGTCAGGCAAATCCGTTCTGACCGGGGAACGAACTTCGTTGGAGCATGCAAAGATCTGGGAATCTCCTCCAATGTTGACGAAGATGTGGTGAAGAGGTACCTCTCAGAAAAGGGCTGTACCTGGACATTCAATCCACCTCATTCCTCCCATATGGGAGGGGCATGGGAGAGGATGATTGGCATCACCCTCAAAATCCTGGACTCCATGCTTCTCCTGTCAGGACGTATTAAACTTACTCATGAGGTGCTCACAACCTTTATGGCGGAGGTGATGGCCATTGTGAACAACAGACCACTAGTGCCAGTGTCTACAGATGCAGAAGATCCGTTTATCCTCACTCCTGCCACGCTGCTCACACAGAAAAGTGGCCCTCCTCCCATTCCTCCAGGAGAGTTCACCAGCAATGACCTGTACAAAAAACAGTGGCGGCAAGTGCAAAGCTTTTCCAGCACCTTTTAGGACAAATGGCGCAAACAGTACTTGTCTACCCTACAGTCACGAAGGAAATGGACATCCAGTAGCCCAAAAATCACCCCAGGCTCTGTTGTGCTCTTGAGAGACTGTCAGTCCAAGAGAAATGACTGGCCTTTAGGACTCGCGAGTATTTCCCAGGAAGGATGGAAGAGTTCGTAAGGTAGAGGTGAAGATTAACAGACGGGATGGAACAAAACTGTTTCTCGGGCCTGTTACGGAAGTGGTCCCCCCTGAGGACTAAGAACAAGTAACTTGAACTGTAAAGGTGGCAAATTGTGGTATCTAGTGATACCAGGCGGGGAGTGTGCTGTTTTATTATGTTAGAAATTTTAAGTTACTTAGACCTCCCCCTGATGGTAGGTTTTGTAAAACAGCCATTTAGGTTAGGTGATCTGTGTCTCTACTTGATGACATCATCAGTAAGCATCAGGGATCAAATTTCAAAAACGCGAACCCGTGAGAAAGCAGAACAGAACGCATACGCGTATTAAGAGCCCACTCCACAGACGCGCGTTTGAACCTTTGTGCGCAAGCATGTAGTCCTTCCCCTCAAAAAAAGCCCTTCAGAAATTCTTGTCTGGCTCATACATGGACATCCAGAGAGTACAGGTCCATGGACTGGTGCCATAATGGTTGCACTCACTTACACAGGAAATGCAAGGTGTCACGTCTACCTAGCTCACAGTAGCAGTGACATAGGGGAGACCACACCGTTTGTAAAGTTAAATAAAAAAATAGTTTATTTAAACATTAAATGATGAAATGGAATCATAATTCAAATCAAGAAATGCATTAAGTCAGTGTATGAGAAGCAAGAGAAAATTAATCAAAATGTAGTGCAGATCAGTAAAGTGTAAACTATGAGTAATGCAAACAAAACAAAAGAAAATATGGTGGAGTTGCTGCCTGCCTGGCAGCCCGAACAAAGCCGAGACGCACAGCACAGAGCAGACCAAACAACTGGCAGGAGATGCTTTTAAACAGTCCCTCCCATCAGCTGCTGTCTGGTGGACCGGAAACCAACAGCTCCCTCTTCAGGCTGGGAGTAGAAGACCGGCCCAACATCTTCTGTCCATGGTGGAATGAGCACACCTAGCACAGCAAAGTCAGGCATGACAAAGGACTAAAATGGGCAGCATATCTAACACTTAAACAAACATGGCTTACAAATTGCATGTTTGATTTTTTCCGCCCAGATCGCCAATTAGCCAGACATCTCTCACTGTCTCTTAAATAGAATAATTTAATAATTCAAATTACACCGTCCCCACCCCCGCCCCGCCTTTTTTTTTTTTTTTTTTTTTTTTTTTTACAATTTATTTAATTCTAAGATAAAGCAGACTCAACAATAGCATGCAGACTAGTAAATATGTATAGGGCTTAAACGCTTTTTATGTGCATGCATGTCTGTGTAAGTGTGTGTGAATGCATTTGTGTGCGTGTGTGTGTGCACGTCACAGCTGGGTATATAAGTGCCTCTCTCCCTCTTTCCTGAGAATACACTTTCATTCTCATCCAAGCTCACAAAACAGAATAAGGTAAGAGATCCTATCTATCTATCTATCTATCTATCTATCTATCTATCTATCTATCTATCTATCTATCTATCTATCTATCTATCTATCTATCTATCTATCTATCTATCTATCTATTTAACCTCACAAGGATTTAATATTTTATTTATTCATTATTTTATGATAAAAATATTAAAAATAAATACAAGAATAACAGATGGCAACTATCTTAAACAGTGCTTGATAACTTTTGTCTTTAAAAACTGTCTTTTCTTCCCATAATAGCTATAATTTTCCCTTAATAATAGCTACAATAGCTATTTGTTACATCAATTACCTGTATTTTCCCAGTTATCTTCTCTTGCAGCCTTAAATTTGATAATTGATTAATGAATCAAATTTAAGGTTAAATTAGATTTCTTCTGAAAAAAAATTACCAACTGAAATTAAAGATGAATGTAATTTAATAACTGTATTTAGGAAAAATACAGTAATAATATTTAGAAGAGAATTTTTTTAAATGATTGCAGCAAGAAAAAATAACACATAGTTTAACAATAATAATTTAATTATAGATTTTTAAAAAAAAATAGTATAGAATATGAACAGAATTACAAAGTCATACTAAAAGGATTTCTTTTAACATGTTCGTCCCTCTCTTCTCCTCTCTTTCACATTTCCAGGATGAACAGCTGGGTGTGCGTGTGTGTGATCCTGGCTGCGCTTTCCGCCTCCTGTTTGGGTCGGCCCTGCTCCTCTTCCCTTGACACTGATGATAGCCCTCTGCCCTCGCAGGAGGAAACCAGTTTAAGTGGGCATCACCGGGTCGCCCGCTCCACCAGCCTCACCCTCAAACAGCAGCCAGCAGGCAACACAGACCCAGACACCCGTGCCAACCTCAGCGAACTGCTGGCCAAACTCATCTCTAAGAAAGGTGAGAGACACTTCAATGGCCAAACACAGGGTAGTATCAGAAGAATACACGATGATCCTCAATGTCAGGAAGAACGCAATTGTCTTAAAAACCAAAAATTAGCTTCAACAAATGCTTAAAGTTCTGCAAAGTAGACAGACTAGGACATTTTCTGCTCAAATATGTCCTTGTGTATGAATACAGTTTTTATTATTATTTTTTTTAACCTTTATTCAGGACATTTGAAAACTAGGCATGAGTTTCGTTTGGTCCTTTTACAATATACAAATGTGTTTAAAAACGTAAAAATACAAATTGGATTCTTTTTCAACATGTAACATGGACACAACATACACAAATACAACTTGATTTAAAAAAGGGGTTTAAACAAATTTAGAGCAAGTCATGTTCAATTTAAAAAAATGTGTAATGTTCAACAACAAGCAAAAGGAAAAATAAAAAACAAGCAGATAAAATCATTACATGAAATTACGGGTTTCCGCATTATGAAAGAAAAACCTTTGTCACGCACTGTAGCTCCAGGTTAGCGTTGCTTGGCATTGATAAACATAAACACAGCCGAGTGAAGCATGTTTATACCAGAGTTGTACAAGGGGTGGATGTTTTTGGGTTAGGTTTGCACCATTAAATTGCATAACCACTCTTAGGGTGTAACCTCTTCAAAGGGTATCAATTATCATTCCTAAATGCAGGAACAGGGAATTGTTCCTCTGAACAAGTAAGTGCAGTGTGGTATTTTTATTTTTATTTAAACATTAATTGTTAACAGTGCATGTCATGTGTGTGTGTTTATCAAATTTTTCAGACAGTAAAGTGACCAAAGTTCAATGGTCTCCAAGAGGAATACAGCTTAATAAATGGTATTGTTTAAAAAATGCAGAAGGGTTTTCTGTAAAATATTTAATATCGTCATTAGATTCAATATGAGATAATATCATTAGCAGTATACAAAAGTATACTGCTAATGATAAGCATTGAAAGTATACAAAAAATGGAAAGTCTAAATCACGATAGAAAAACAAATGGGTGTGTGTGTGTGTGTGTGTGTGTGTGTTTGTGCGTGTTCAAAAGAATGGCATTCAGTGCTTAGTGCAAACTAATTGATCCCATTATAACAGCCCTAGTTTATCAGTGCATTTAGTTTTTAAATAAGGTCAGCTCTCTCTCTCTCTCTCTCTCTCTCTCTCTCTCTCTCTCTCAAATAATTGTGAGTAGAAAGTGCAAGTTTTACACATGTCAGCATGTGAAAACAAGTCTACAACTTGTACAAATTTCAACAAAATTCTAGTATGTAGTGTGTTAAAAGCCTCCCATCTGTTGCAAACCTTATCACACCCCTACCAACAGATTGAACGACGCTTAACATGCTGTATGTAGCTGAAACATTGTCACACACAGTATTATGCCACTCTGGAAAACAATGTTCTTTTCCAATTACTATTCCAATCAATTAATGATCTGCAAGTACTACAGTTCATAGCAGTCCAAGATGACTCTTTAAATTCCACTTTGACACATTCACCAAAAGGTTCCAATCCTTTTGAAAGAGCAGTGAACGGTTTGTTCGCCATTAACAGTAGGCTATTAATCGCTCACTTAAATAAGAATTATATTCAAATGGGTGTCAGAAATCTGGGCACAGTACAACTTGTTTGATAGCATGCCATTTTGAAAATGTTATAGTGTTACGTTTGAAAGCAGTGTCTATATTAGATAGATGGCCAGAAAGAGTATTGTAGTATAGGTATTTGAGTGGAACTAGATCCATATATCTAGTTCCACTCAAATACCTGTACTAAACAATACTCTTTCTGGCCATCTATCTAATATAGACACCTTTATTTTACTTTAACTCTTTATTCTACTTTTACTCTTTAACTCGCTTGATATATCATGCCACCATATATTTAAGATGTTAAGAGACATCATTTATTTATTTCTCTCCTAGGCTCTGTTCGTCGTAACTCCTCCATGAACAACAGCGCAAACAGTAACCACCGGATAAAAGATCGGGATTATGTGGGCTGGATGGATTTTGGCCGCCGGAGTGCTGAGGAATATGAATACTCATCATAAAAACCATAAATATCATCTGGTTCCTCATCTACAAAATAAAGAGTATATTTATTACTACTATTGTTATTATTATTCCAATGTACATTTGTTTAGAAACCAGTATAATGCAGAATAGACATATGAATAAATTTACTAAAAAAGACCAAAAAAAACATTCCTAAAGTATTGTTTTTAAATCTTGTCATTTTATTTGCTTTTCTTTGTCAGTGGTTTTGCATAAATGAGAACCATTAACCTAATGTGTATCAGATTCATGGAACCACAGTTTTCAATAAATCAGGTCAGCATTCAACTTTGGCCTTAAATCCTACAGACTCTGGCGTTTTGTCCATCAAATCAACTCGCAACCAAAAGAACTTGCTTTTAATGGAAGGAAGTACTCAAGAAATGGCTTAACAAGTATTTGCGGCTTAAACTGCTTATGAAGCCTCTTTGCTTCAAAAGAAATTGGAAAATCAATAAATGAGTAAGTGAATTAATGGAAGAAATGCTTTAAAGGAACATTAAGAGGAGAGAGTGGTAAAATTTCTGGTTAGAAAAGACTTTTGAATTATTCAGATGGTCTAAGACAAAGACAAAGAAAATGGAAAGAGAGAGTAGAAAGTTCTTATATATGTTCAAGGCCGACTCAGGGGACTTATTGAGCTTGATACGCTGTCCAAGGGTAAAGATTTCCATTTGACAGGCACATGAAGACAGAAATAGACTGGAAGACAGACAGATGCAATGGATCTCTCTGTATAATAACCAAGATGCAGTGGATATGGCATATGTCTTCAGACACAGCCGACACACACATATACCCACACACACACACAAACGTGTCACTGTCTACAATAATAAGGCCTGATTATGCCTTAAATGCCTGAGAGCAGGACAGAACTGTCATATTCAAAATATCATAATTTCCCTTCACTGACTCTTAATAAAAGCACAATCCTATAGTGGGCTGTAATCAAACCGATAAAAACAAAAATTAAATTGCATCAAACCCTCAACCCATCAACGACATATTACATCAAATTTGACCACCACTGGACCGGAATTAACTTTCAGTCTTTTGTCATATTAGAATAAAGTTATTGGAAATGGGGCTGTTGCTGGGCGGACACTGAACACAGGGGACCAAATATTTTCCGTTATTGAGTGAATTGTTTTTAGCAGTGACGGAAAAATCTGAAGGCCGTCCATCATTTTGAGTATTTTAAATGGTATACTGAGGGTGAGTATTTTAAATGGTAGCACACTGCAGTGGTTACAATTATGAGGGAAGTCAGAAATGCGGGATATAAACTCAAAATAAATTTGAAATTGCAGCAAGGCTCCGTGCACACAAAACACATCGCTGTTTGCCAACACCCAAATGGTCTATTATAGTTTTGCCTCGTCTTTGACCTCAATGCATGACATGTGGCTTTAATCACCGCTACAAAAAAATTGCAAAAATATCATGGCAGTTGATTGCAAAAAGTTTCTTCAAATGGCTAAAATAGTTTTGACATTGTTGATAAAAGTAACACAGTCTCATCCCAAGAAGTCATATAACTGACGTCTCGGGACGTCTTTTGACCATACGTCAACATCCGCCTTTTTAGGGTACCCTTAAAGGAACACTCCGACTTTTTGGGACTTTAGCCTATTCACCTTACCCCCCAGAGTTAGATAAGTCCATACATACCTTTTTCATCTCCGTGCGTGCTATAAGTCTGTTTGACGCACCCACCGCTAGCCTAGCTTAGCACAAAGACTGGATGTGAATGGTTGCAGCTTTCATACTAATCCAAATGAGTGGCAAAATAATGCAAACGTTTTCCTATTTACATGTTGTGGTTTGTATAGTCACAGAATGTGCAAATATCAAGGCCATATGAGACACAGACATCTTTTGACCGTATAAATACTATATTTTCTGAAGGCGAAGCACTGCTACTTGGGCAGAGTGATAACAATCACCTGAGACACACCGTGACGAGGAGCAGAGAGTTCGCTCAGTGTTGGAATAAAGAGTCAGCAATTACTAACGTTAGATAGAAAAGCATAGTTTATCATGGGTGTTTGCTTTATTGTATGAGCTGTGACAATAAACAGGGGAGACCAGGTAATACAGTACCATGTTTCATTGATTTCCAACCAAAAACGCACCCAGATTTATAAATATCACAGAACATGAATAAATAATTATTATTTCAGGAATCAATATATTTTAAATGCAATTTATTAGCTGAACCAAATGTATTCAACAGCATATAATATACAGTATAATTGCATTACTATAGGATAGAATAAGGGGAAAGTAATAGCACAAATTGTTTTTGCACAATGAACTCACAGCCTATCGTACCCTTTTGCACGCTCAAGTTCGTTATTTCCATGGTTATTTCAAATTTAGGCTACTAGGCGCGCCGCGCGCAAGTTCAACGCGCTCGTTTTTTTCCAAGCGCGTCCGCATTTATATTATAATCAATTATATATTATAATCATATCACTAATGTTACATTAGATCTGGCTAAAGGCACTGTTACAGTAGGTCATCTAAAAACATAACGGAACACTTACCTCAGCCGCAGGTGATCCACTTGTCCTGTCTGTGCTATCGATGGGATGGCCGTATCCTTCAGCACATTATGGTCCGTGTGGCAAATTCCGTTTTTTCTAAATAGTCGTCCATTGAAATGTACCGAGCAAACATAATGTAACTTGATAATCTACTTAGGTGTGTTTGGATCAATATCCAGAGTAAGTAAGTTAGCCATTTCTTCATCCAGTCAGCGTTTTTAGTTGGAATTCTGTGAAACATGGTATTACCTCCCCTGTTTACAGTCGCAGCTATTTACAATAGAGCGAAAACCCATGACTCTAAACTACGCTTTTGCTATTTATAAATTGCTGACTCTATTACCCAAACACCAAGCGAACTCTCCGCTCCTCACCACGGCGTGTCTCCGGTGATGCGGTTATTACGCCGTCAAAGTAGCAGTGCTTCGCCTTCAGAGAATAGTTCCCAGGTTTTATACGGTTAAAAGATGTCTGTGTCTCATTTGACTTTGTTATTTGTACATTATGTGACTATACAAATCACAACATGTAAATAGGAAAACGTTTGCGTTATTTTGTCACTCATTTGGATTAGTATGAAAGCTGCAACCATTCACATCCAGTCTTTGTGCTAAGCTAGGCTAGCGGTGGGTGCGTCAAACAGACTTATAGCACGCACGGAGATGAAAAAGGTATGTATGGACTTATCTAACTCTGGGGGGTAAGGTGAATAGGCTAAAGTCCCAAAAAGTCGGAGTGTTCCTTTAAACATCGGTTACATGATAATCCTGGGCCGTTATACAACTGACGCTTTACCTTTAACGTCGGTTAGGTGACTTTAGGGGTAGGTTTAGGTCTGGGGTAGGGTTAGGATCTGATAATGTCATCTAACCGACGTTTAAGGGTGCCCTAAAAAGGCGGATGTTGACGTATGGTCAAAAGACGTCCCAAGACGTCAGTTATATGACGTCTTGGGATGAGACTGCGCTGATAAAAAAGAGGTAAAAAGAGAGGGACTGATCCGGATGCAATGAAGGATGAAGGTGTAGAGATTCTGATCGGACAATTATTAACCAGTTTTCATGCGATCACTCAGAGAGGTCCACAAGGACATTCCTACAACACATGTGTTTTAATCCAAATTTGACTTTCATTACCTTATGCGCCTGAGTGTCTGGGGTTAACTGACTTTAAGTGTGATAAAGGGCGAAAACGGGGACATCGTGAGGCATCGCCACACACCAGCAACGCAGTTAATCTGGGTTGCAATCTAACACAGCTCTCTCCTCGTTTGATCCTGTGACATTTTCAAGGGGGGAATTCTGGAGACAAACCAGACCCTCTTTTGTTCTATCGCAATATACATGCGGATTAGCGTGACCCGCACCTAAGTGCCACACGCACACACAGACACACACACATCCACGTGCAAGATACCCCACACGAACGCGAACAGCTCTGGAAAAGCTTGTAAATATCTGTAATACAATGCATTAAGACATATCTCAACAATGCTGTATGAGGTGTTTGATCTTGTTATAATCCTCCTGGTGTGATCTGTCTTTTAAACTGTATATCGATATTGTGAAATGTATATCATTATGTATAAGTTTGTTTTCAAAGTTAGCAGAACTTTTCCTTTGTCTTAAGAACCGAAATTAACAACGTGGTATGTTAATCAAGTGGGCGTACGCCCGAGGACAATCATTGGCCATCTGAGTTTTATGGGGAGTCCCAAAACACCCTTGAAAAACTCGCGCCACAGAATCATCTCTCTCTTACACTCTTGCTCTCTTACACTCTTGATCTCTTACATCCAGCATCTCTTACATCTTACCTCCCTCCGGAATCTCCTTGGACCCTCTCGTCGTCTTCCAACAGCTTTTCAAAGTTATCAGTCTTTCGTACTTTTACTTCACGTTTACTTTTGTGAATAGCCAGTTAAAGTTCGTAAGTGCGTTTTCTTCAACGAGAAGGCAACACCCAGCACGATAGAACTCTCTAGGACGCTTTGAACTCCCGTGAAACACACCCACGTGAGAGAACAAGAAATCCGTCTCCCGCCTCCCGGACGACCACACGCTTCCATCACACAGGTCTGAATGCAATTTGTTCCATCAAATTTGAGACTCAAGATATAATCCTGTGGTTGTCTCTGAAGGTTTAACCCTTTCACACGTAAGTTTAAAATATTCTAACTGACCCCCCAGCGTGAGTTTTTCAAGGCGACCGTTATTTAGAACTTGCCACTTTAATGTTTCCATGGTGACGCGTCATTGCTTGTCACGTGACACAGCACAACCAGAACAGAGCGCGGAATGAATGATGATCTGCTTTTATGTCATTTTTCCTTTTTTATTAAAAATATTCAAAAATTTATTAGCTATATCATGAAACACTGATATTCCGATTGTCAAATATGTGCAAATGGATGGGTTTTGTTGTTTAGACATCTTTATAACGATCGCGTTAGTTCCCAGCTGGCATACGACCGACCTTCAACGTTGAAATATGGTTGAAATAATGTCAGTTGTTGTTTCAACATTGAAACAACGTTGATATAACGTTTAATGCTAAACGGTTGAAAAATGTTAAGAAAACACTTCTAAATCAACAAGATCTGTACGTTGGAACAACGTAATGTTTTCAACCACATACAACAGAAATCTGCCTTATAAAGTTTATGATCATTATTAGCATTTAATGATAGTCTGATAATACAGCCTTGGCTATGTTAAAATATAATTATTATCATTATAGACAACTCTCCAATAA